TGTGTGTGTGTGTGTGTGTATGCTTGAAGCTGGTGGTTGGAAGACGAGATCCCCAGCATCAACCCGAATGCACAGCCCCTGAACGCTGCACTGAAGGGGGGGGTGTTAAACTCCTGTGAGAACCAGCCGAGCAAGATCCTCGGAGCAGCAAAGGATCATCTATAACAGTGGCGCCGCTGCTGGCTTTTGTTTGCTGGCGAGTGTTTTATGTGGCATGCTGCAAGCAAGCGGTGTGCTGCCGGTGGATTGGTGGACGCTTCTTGAATGCTTTTGTTGCAACATGTTGAAAGGGATCGCTGAAACAGGAATCAAAAATTGTAAGCCACACAACCCACCAGCTTCGGTCAAGAACTCCCGCACCTGATCTTTGAGCAAGCGAGGCTTCTTCTTTTGCACGCATCCTTCTGGATAGTGCTTCTGTTCTGGCAGCGTTTGCGAGGCATATTTCTGAAGCCTGCAACTATCTTCCTGGATCGACTTTGCATCGCACAGCATGACGAAGAGCTGAAGCAGAAAGGGATTCTGGGCCTGGCAGGCTTTTTAGACAGATCCCGACAGCTCACTATTCTTTGGTCTCAAAGATATTTTTCGAGAATATGGTGCACCTATGAGGTAGCAACATTCCTCAGGGACGCAAAAAACCAGAAGCCCATTCTGGTGATGCCTGTAAAGATGGCTTTGATCCTTTTCCTTTTCGCCGTGAGTGAGCACATCATCATGTATTGGTATGTGCATGCCTCAAGCATCATGGCACGTGATGTAGCAGACGTCGACTGGGGCATTCTGTGGTCACTCTTCCTGACCTTCGCACCTATATTGGTCCTGACGGTTCCGCCGGTCTTCTACATAGGTTTGGGCCTGATGCAGGAGCTACAGGAGCTGCCTCATCAGCTGGCGAATTTCAGCGTCCAGAGCGCGCAGTGCTTCTGCTGCTCCAATGACCACAGGCATCCGCAGACTGGAGAAGCCATACCTTGCGACCGTGAATTGATCTTCGGCATGCTCAAGCGATGGTATGGGAATCCTCATGGAGAGGCCGTTAGGGACCACAAAATGCAAAACGAATTTCTTTTAGCGAACTACATTTTAAAGTTTATATGTTTTACATTAAGGGGCCTAAATACTTAGCAGGGGCTCCTTATTTTAGGTACAGTCGTAGCAAAACTTATCCCCCAACTCTACTGTTATTATTACGCCCCCCATATTCATATTAGCTTCTTTTCTCGGGTTCCGAAGGCCGACGAACATCTGCATCTCTTCGACCGACAGGTGAAGGAGGCCCTGGCACCCACCGTCATGCGGAGCTTGGGGCGAGGTTGGCTGCCGCTTCGGTACACTATTGCCTCTTGGCCCCGGTTAGACATACGGGAGGTTAGGCTTCAGGTAGTTTGTTCATGGTTTTGTTGCTATGCCTGAGGCCGAGACTCGGCACCAGATCTTGGATTTTCGAAAAAGTTCCAAATCTACTGCAGGCCATGGTTTGCATCTCCGCTGTGCCGGCGCTTTCTCGAACCATAGCGGTGCTTGCAGTAGGACCTCCGCAAGCTTTGGCGGGATATTCATCGGTTGTGTGGAGACTGCGTGTGTGCATGGACTATGGCATGGCCTGCTTGCTTACATTCTCTTGGGTGCAGGTGGGCCTGTACGTTCTTCACTACGCTGGATCACGGGTGAAGACGCAGAACCGTTGGTTTTATGCAATCGTCTTGGTGGTGCCTGCTTGCCTTCCCCTGTCTGTTGAATGGTTTAGCTTTCAGCTGTCGATGATTCACACGGGCGATGATAGCCTGATTCCCCTGATACCCTTCCTCACATGGACAGGGTTGCACATTTTGCTCCTGCGATTTTCGGATGGACCCGCTGGGCATGTACAGTTTGCCGGTGCTATACCAGACAAACCCGAATGTCTCTTCCAAGAAGCGACGCTTGAGGTCGTTGTCGATGAACAGAGCACTTCTGACTCCATCTCTGTTTTCTCTACCTGACCCAAGAACCGCGCACCTTTTCTGTGCTTCTGGGCGTGGTGCATGGCTACCAGAGACAAACAGACGGAAGCCAACAGCGGATTCGAGACTTCCATCGCTCAACCAGGCCTAAACACTGCCAGTTTTAGAAGGTATTCCACCCTTTTCCACCAAAGTTCCATCGGGCTAGATCTATTGGCCAGAGGAAAGGAAGCATCAACAAAGCGACATGCACTCGGAGCAGTCGAAGACGATAAGCAAGCTCAATGGGCCAAGGCGTCCGCAGCTGTAGTATTCTACCGTTGTGAAGAGAAATCGGAAAGGACAGAAGCGAGGAAATATACAGCGGGAACCCATGGCTACCGTAGCATTCCTGGTACAATGCCAGTCAAGACCCTCAAGCTACCATAAAACCCGGACCGTCACTGTCAAGGAGTCTTTGGGATCGACACCGAAAGCAGCCCACCGAAGTTTTGTCAGCTCAGGACCGACTGCTTCCGCTTTCGACGTCGCCTGACGCCCGTTTCAAGCACCAACATTAACTGAGGTGTAAACTCGGGTCCCTTAGTAGCTGAAACTCTGTGCACTCCGAAGCACCATAATATGGCGCATGGAGATCATAGGGGTCGTAGTTGGCTTAGGGCATAAGGTCCGTCAGGATTTCTTTGCTGCTCATCATTCATCGACAAGGCTTGCTGCAAGGCCTCATGTCCCAGCCATGCAAGTGGATGTGTGACCATTGCATCACACCGTCGTAATCACAACAGACGTTGCTGATAGTCACGAGGTGATATGACGAGCTGGAAAATCGATACTTCTTCTTAGGAGGGGGGAGCATCATTGTCGAGTGTTTGCACCCAGGCCTTTAACCTCGACCCCAAGGGCAGACTGGGCATGCGAGGTACTCGATTCATTTAAGGGCACCTTGGGCCTTCGACCCGGATGTTTGAAGCGACAATGCTGTGCAAATGTCTTTGACCCCGCCTAAACAGGTGGAGAGTTTCACGCCCGGAAAGACAATCGACACCTGATCATAGCATGGCAGTATTTTGTCGTTGTAGGAGTAGGAGTAGGAGCAGGAGTAGGAGTAGGAGTATGAGTAGGAGTAACAGCAGCAGCAGGAGCAGCGGCAGTAGTAGCAACAGTAGTAGTGGCAGTCGTACAAGTCGCAGTAGCAGCATCAGTGGCAGTAGTAGTCGTCGTTGTGGTGGTGGTGGTGGTAGCAGCAGCAGTAATCTCTGTAGTAGTAGCAGCAGCGTGAGGGGTAGTTGCCGCATGTTGCCGCTGGCCGCTGGTGGTGATGTGTGTGGAAGTGGTAGTGCTGTCAGTAGTAACGAAAGCTGGAGGCAGATCGCCGAACGAACAACAGAGCCTCGCCGAATCTCTCAGACACGCACAACGCCGCAAGTTTTTCCGGGTACCCAGATTCAGCCGCCACCTGCGCAACGCAAAATGTATTCTTTGCGACGGAGACTGATTTTCGAATCCCCCAAGCCCCTCAGTGTTCTTTGGGGCTTTGTTGGGTTGCACAGCGAAACCTCACCATCTTGTTTCTAATGAAAATACCCATAGGCCACATAGTAGTTCCTGTGTGGGATTACCTTATATGATTCTAAATATGAGCCCCAAAAACGAACTACTATGGGGCCTATGGGTAGGTTCACTCCAGAAGCACTTACACGGGAGGAATTTCGGAGAAGTCCGAGCAAGACCCACTTCCAGCTCTTAGTCTTCGGGGTAGTGCAAAGGGGATCTATAAGGGTTCAAGTAAAGGTTCCTGTAAAGGGGATCTATAAGGGTTCAAGTAAGGGTTCCTGTTAAAGGGCATCTACAAGGCTTCTATTAAGGGTCACTTAGAGGGATCTATAGGTTTAGGACTCTATGCAGGATGTCCTCCGGCTTCACCGCCAGATCTTTTCCGGCCGAGCCCTCCAAAGAGCCCGCCAAAACCGTGAAACTTGATCCTGGGTTTAGGGTTTTGGGTTTAGGGTTTAGGGTTTAGATCCTGAACCTTATAAACTCTAAAGTTCTAAATGCTTAGCCACATTGGCACGCGGGACGTAGGGCAACTTACGGACGGAAGAGAGGCGTCAAGAGAAGCCCTAAATCCTAAACCCTTAACCCAGGCGCCGAAGCCTAAAGAATACCCTACAGCCCTCAAAACTTGAATTATGACACCCTAAACCCGACTCCTGCGAGCCATCGCGCCACAATGCCTTTTCAATACGGGCTGCTGGGCCCGGGCCCGCTTCAGTTCAGTTCAGGGCGGGGGCGCTCCTTGGCCTGATTTTGAGGGTTTAGGGTTTAGGTTTGGGGTTTGAAGGTTAGGGTTTAGGGCCCCCTCTGTTCTAATTAGGTATATTCTATAGAAACTGACCTTTATATGAACCCGTACAGTACGTCTTATAGCAAAAGGCATCGCGTTCGGGTTTCGCAGGTTCAGGATTTCGCCTAAACTCTCGAAGGCCTCTTCGATTGAGGCTTTCGGAGGCTTAGTGGGGTGGGCGTTGGGTTCAGTTGGAAAACTAGACTGAGGTACACTGATGCCAGGTTGGCTTTGGTCTTTTGAAAGCCTTATGTTTCCCGACCTCGCCAAGTCCTGGCAGGGCGATTTCCCCTCGAACTCCATATCAAAACCACGCCGTTGACGAGATTGTGCTAGATACGAGGGAGCCTCAATCCGTCGAAACGGTGCCTCCGGTAGAGTTGCGACGTAAGTCCTTGAAGCATTGGGCCGCAGGTTTCACCGGGCATGGAGAACGTGAGCTCTGCAGATGCTGTACCGGGGAAGTCCGTACATATCATTAGGAGTGATAAGGAGACGAGCCGAGTACGCCCGGAATAGCCTGACATAGGGGTCTCAATGATGATTCTGTGGCACACTACAAGCATAATGTGCTTTCTGTCGAGGCCCTTCCTCGTAACAGGCAGTAGGCGCAGTAGCCGAAGCAATGGCCGGGGCACTTTCGCAGTGGCAGAAGTAGTAGTAGTAGTAGTAGTAGTAGTAGTAGTAGTCGTCGTAGTAGTAGTAGTAGTAGTAGCAGTAGCAGGAGCAGGTGTTGTCGTTGCACCGCTATGACTGACAACGAAGATGAGTCAGTAGCTCCCGGCTACAGGATCTTATCCAGAGGCTCGCCCAAGCATCAGAAGCGAGGCGGGAAAATCTCCCTCAGCTAAGGCTCTTTGATCTAGTTGCTTAATCAGTCAACTCTCAATTTCGATCATGTCAGTTTCAGTTGAAACAATAAACTTTGGGGCGCTTGATCTCAGCAACTGAGTTCAGCCGGAGAAGGCAGCTCAAAACAGCAACAGCCCGTCAGCTCACCAAAGGTTTCGAGGATGACGAGATGAGGGCGGCGGTTGCAGCCGCCCAGGAGATCCCGCACGGCATATACTCTTAAAGCGAGCAGCTTGTATGTGATAGAGCGTAAGCTCTCACAATGGAGCTTTACATAGTAGTATAGTTGGCCCCGAAAGCCTAATCCTATGATCAAGGCCCCGAGATACAAGTGCCGCACGTTGCCAGGAAGTGAGCAGCACTTTCGGGTCAACTCCGGCCAACCTGCCGGCGGCGCAGACTTCCCGGCAGACATTAAGATATTTCCTGTTGCTACTGCTGCGGGTCTAGGACCTACTTTCCCTCTATTGAATTCTCATTATGCGGATCTCTAGTTTCTGATCTCCGATCGAACCTTTATCCGAACCCCGTGTGCACTGCAAATTCAAATATCACCTCAACTTAAACCCTAAACGCATCTAGACCCTAAACATAGCGGACGGTCAACGGTCAGACCCAGTTCCGCAGAACCCCATGCGTCACACTGCTTGCTCGGCCTTCTTGCTTGCTACTGATTCTGTTGGCCCGAGCATGCTTCCATTCTGTGACAGGTCTGTCTTAGTGAGCTAAACCCTGAAACCCTAGCTGGCATCAGGGTGTTTGGGTTTCATATCCTTCTCTAAGGACTCCGAGCCACGCGCTGAACTTGCTGGCGCCGCTCATCCGCTGGACGGGACAGCTCTTGCGGACGGGTCCCGAAGATGACGTACCGCCGATCCATGCGGGGCTCTCAGACGAATAATTAGCAAAGTATTGCCATAGTAATGATCGTAAGTAGTCGGTGTTCGAGATTGGGCATATTTTGGGCGAAACTCTTCGGACTAGTGTTGCGAACGCTGCGATACTGGCGTGTAGTTAGACTTCTTACTGTCAATGGTGTGCCGTTTTCCGTTTATCCAGTACTGCTACTAAGCGGCCAGGGCCAAGATCTACTCCAATGTGGATTATTTCTTTTACCACTCCTGTGACATCCTCCTCCTCCTCCTACTAGTACTACTACTAGTACTACTACCACTACTACTACTACTACTACTACTACTACTACTGCTGCTCGTGCTGGTGCTACCAAGCCTGCTCTAGCTGTACTGCTACTGGCACCCCTGGCAAAGCCAAAGCCATTTGCGACCTTTTGCCTTTGCTTGTTTCGGTTGCGGCGAGCACTACTACTACTACTACTACTACTACTACTACTACCGACTACTATCTACGACTAGCACTGCCACACTCACCACTGCGGTTGATGATACAAATCTTGGATTACCCATAAGAAGGGAGTATGCCATAATTCCCACATGCAGGATTTATATCATCACCATTCATACCACCACGACCCTAAAACCTAAATCCTAAACCCTAAACCCCTAAACCCTAAACCCTAAACCCTAAACCCTGAACCCTAAACCCTAAACCCTAAACCCCTAAACCCTAAACCCTAAACCCGAAACCCTACAGGCGTTGCTTGGGCTCCTAGCCTCAGACCGCAGTTCGAGCCCCGAGTCCTGAGCTCCACCGACCTCGGGGCCTTGCAGTTTGTGGGCTCTTAAGGTATAGGGTTTAGGGTCTAGGGTTTAGGAAAAAGGGTTTAGAGTTCAGGGTTTAGGGTTTAGAGTTTAGGGATAGGGCTTAGGGCTTAGGGTTTAGAGTTTAGGGATAGGGTTTAGAGTTTGGGGTATAGGGTTTAGGGTTTGGGGTATAGGGTTTAAAAGGGTTGAGGGTTGAAATTTGCCAGGGGGCTTGGCCGGGCGAGCTCCAATCAAGCCTGTGCAAAAGGGTTGAAGTATGCACCTTCAGTTAAGTTGGTTACCCAATTCACCAAGAACAGGTTACACTTTATTATACACCCTCTTTGTGACATTGCTCAGCGAGAGCACAGGTATTGTTTGCAGCTGATTAATGACAGCCAGTCTACATTCGGCGTACGCTGTCATGCATATTCCCGCTCGGCCTGGTCCTAGACACCGCTGGTTCTGTGTTGATGAGAAGGTTCCACGGTCCGAAACTTCACCCTTAGCTGAGACTGCCCGGAGGTAGATGAGGACTACAGGCAGTCCTTGATTCAGCTGATGAAGCTTGTCCCCTACTCGCTGTTTCTTGGCTTCTTGGTCTGGGGGTTTCGCTGCACGAGGTTGTGTGTTCGGGTGGAACTGCTGGGTTTCCCCGAAAGCAGGTTACGCTTTCGGGTTTAGGGATGTAATGTAGGGGCCTAAATAAGTACCAATGCAACTTTGGGTCTTCCTTGTTATGAGTATAATATAACGGGCCACAAAGCCCTATTCTAGTTATTAAGGCCCCTATATTAGGCTTTCGGGCCGTAGGGTTTCGGACACTCGCTAAGACCAGGATCCTGGTTTGCTTAGAGCCCTGACCACCGAAGCACTTGAAGAGACCTCTGGACATTTTTCGCCACATGATCTCAGAATTTGCTCATTACCGCAAGCTCGTTATCACCAAGTACCCAGACCTTCGATTTCGGCGCTCACTCCCTTCGATTTAGGGTTTAGAGATCAGGGGTTTAGGGTTTAGGGTATGATTAGGGTTCCCTAAACCCTAAACTTAAACCTTAAACCCTTCCTGGACTTGGGGCATTCAACTTCGCGAACCGGTCACTCTGCCAGCCACACGCCCTGCACGCGCTTTGCAAGACTCAAACCCTCGAAGACCGTCTTGACAATGACTATTCCGATCTATTCCGCCGGGCTCCTGATTAAATTTTTTAACAGTCACACCATACTGTAGCTTCCCCAAGCACCAAATATAGGCTCCCGTTGAACCCTCGAGCGGATCCCCCGAAACCCACAGCTTGGGGAAGGTGGTGGGGCAGTCGCTGTCCTATGCGTGTACCCTCGGAAACCTGCACGGCGGAGAGGTTTGCAGGGACATACATACCTGTAGCTTTCTCCCCACACCTTCTAGCCTTCAAATTCACGATGCAAGCAAGTCGTTTTTGAGGTCAGGTGCGTGCCCAGCCACGGCGGCGTTGTTCAAGTGCGCACTGATGTTGAAACTTGTTGAAACACACACAGACACAGAGAGAGAGAGATACATATATATATATATATACACCCTAAACCCTAAACCCTAAACCCTATATGTGTGTGATGTGTGCCTCAGACTAAGAATCCCCGGTGATCTCTGCAGAGGCTCGGCTCCTGAAGTTGCCCTTCGTGTTAACGCCGTTCTGACACATGGACACGTTGCAATGAAAGGTGGTCGGTTTAGGGTTTAGGGTTTAGGGTTTTAGGGTTTAGGGTTTAGGGTTTAGGGTTTAGGGTTTAGGGTTTTAGGGTTTAGGGTTTAGGGTTTAGGGTTTAGGGGTTCCTCAGCTACACGAATGGGAGTTCGCTATTGTCATGCTTACCATGCTGTGGAGTCCATGGGTCATAGAGTTGTGTCTCAGCAGTGACGTACAT